CTTCAAGAGGAGCTCATGAAGGTCGGCCAAGCAGCCTATGCCAACACTGGAGCCAGCCCTCCTCCAGGTGATGCAGCTGATGCTGGATCTCCACCTCCCGGTGATGCCAAGGCTGAAGCCAAGGGCAAGGATGATGTCATTGATGTGGACGGGCAGTGAGATGGGCTTTACAAGAGGTACAGATTGCAGTTGAAAGTGTTGTACACGGCACTGAGAAGGCAAATCATAAAGCTGAGTCTTGATCATATGGTGAAGTCTATTGACCAAACGGACTGAGAACTCATTCTGTTCTAATAACACGTTGTGCAGTATGCAACACGACCATAGTGGAACAAGAAGCATCTGGGCAAAAATAGGAAGCAGCTGAGCACTGGATCCCGGCCTGCGGATCTAGTGCTGTGTTGGGTACAGAATATCGTGAGCGCTAATGTGCAGCACGATTTGGTGCACAAGTTGCACTATAATTTTACTGACTAACATGGCTGAGCGGCCTAGAAACACTCTCGACAAGCGGTTGGAAGAAGAGCTGTGCACGCTGCAAGTTGCTTTCACTTTTATTTTTGCACGTGAAAAGACAGACAGATGTACACAGCTGGGGGTTCGTCAAGAATCTTTTCTGAGCAGCACAGCAATGTGTGGGATAGCTTGATTGGGCTGCAGAAACCTACGTTAGGGCAATTTTGTTGGAAGCATCTAACGAAAGCAGGCCAGGACCGCGAATGATTGGAAGGGGTATTGATGCTTCAAAATGGTGAACACTGAGTGCAGTGTTTGCTGAGTATATGTTGCCCTTGAAGGTCAAGTATGGTGTCCAAGAAGGCTCGTGCGGCTGCAGCCTGCGCTGGTTTGGGAGGGCACCAGCCTCAGCTTGAGGATGCTTTTCTTTGAGCACTGACAACATCAGCGCAAGAGTCTAAAGGCTGGCCTTTGTGGCAACACCAGGCATGGCCGAGCGTGTCATGCAAGCTCTTTTTGTTCACAAGGCAGATGCAAGAGTCGCAATGTCAGGCTCAGTCGCTCGCCGTGCTCCTGCAGCTGAGATCAGTGCAGCTGGCAAGGCATCGTCCTTAGGTTTTCAGCTGTACTTGTAGCGTTCTTCAGCATGTGGATACACTCGTGACAAGATTGCTTTCTATCTACGTCATGTAGCTTGCGAGGCTCCTGTTGCCGACAGCAAGGGCCTCGGTCCTTGCTTGCTCTGGCACAAGAGCAGAAGCCGAGAGATGAACATGCAGACAGACAGACAGACAGGCAGGCAGCAGACAGACAGACAGACAGGCAGGCAGGCAGACAGGCAGGCAGACAGACAGACAGACAGCCAGGCAGGCAGACAGGCAGGCAGGCAGACAGACAGACAGAGAGAGAGAGAGAGAAAACACAACAAGAAAAGATAAGAATGGATGGAGGAAGACATGACAACAGAGAATAGTTCATTGAGGCAGCAGTGCTTTCACTGTGGGTGCGGCTGCTGTGACAGCTGCTGGGGCAGTTGCTGCCTCCGTGCGAAGGAAGTACCGCCCATCCAAAGCCGGGCGCTCTTTCTTCTTGTGACTCGTAGAGAGTGCAAGCATCTGAACATATCCGACTGATTGTCAAAGAACCGCTAGCGTTGAGGTCGCCGCACGTGCTGAAGTTGCACCAGGTGAGAAGGTTGTTGGAATTGACTTGGGCACGACCAACTCTGCCGTGGCTGCCATGGAGGTTTTGAACCAAGACTTCCGTTGAGTTTTCCTGCCTTCGTGGTTAGGACCAGGTTTTCTTGTGCTATTGTGGCTACTATGCCGAGGCTGGAACTCCCACTGTGATCCCCAATGCAGAGGGAGCCCGAACTACACCCAGTGTAGTGGCCTACTCCAAGAGCGGTGAGCTTTTGGTTGGGCAGATTGCAAAGCGCCAGGAGGGGAATCGTTGTGGTGAGTACTAGTGTGGAACAGATACCTCCAACAATCATGGAAGTGGAAAACGGCCTGTTAGTAGAGGAAAACAGTCTTCCAAGGGGCCATGTTCCACTTCCATGTTTGCTGATGGAGGGTAATTGTTGATCACAGAATTCTGCTATAGCGATCTGCAGGCTGTGGTGAACCCTGAGAACACCTTTTACTCGG